GCCGGACATCTAAACAATCTATGGTTGGATCTAGGGTAATGATGGGGTTAGGGTTTAGAATCTCTCTGTAAATCATTTTATCGTTACTTACATGGTGAAGTAACGATAAAATGCCTCGTAACCCTTCAAAACAATAACTGGTTGGAAGGGTAATACATAAAGGCAAGGAAAGCGACCCCCTAGTCCTTCCCACGAAAGAAGTTTTTTTTTCTTTAAGTCGGACGGACGGACGGACGGACAGCTAAACAGACGGACGGACAAACCCAAATTTATATATTTGGGATAGGCCTACGATTTTTCGGTTTTATTGGCTTTTTAGAGATTTTTTTCTCAAGCTTTGCGTGGGTAAAATAAACCCCAGGGAAAAACTTCTCGATCGGCACCTGTTAAAATCTTCATACAGAAATGGAATAAGTAAAAAAAAAAAAAATAGATATATTGCTTTACTACTTAATATTTCTTAACTATCGATAAAATAAGTCTTGGTCATTCTTTTATCAACATCCAATTTACGTTGTGAAAAGTTTTTTTTGTACAATTCTGTTTACAAATTCCAGACATATAAAGACGAATTAAGTCTATTGTAAATTATAATTGATTTTTTGTTTTACGTAATTTGGTATTCCATAAGAGTTAATCTAAGACACAACATTATAAAATTATCACCTAGATGAACAAGACATGAAAAGATAGCAATTTTCATTTCATACACTTTCATCTGAACTTGAAGATATACGACAAGAGTTTTCAAATTCCAAGTCCAGCTGCTTCTTTTCAAAAAGGCGAGAGAGGGCTTTATTAAGTCGTAAGCAAACTGTGGAATTCCGGAGTTCTGTGAGACTTTCGTCTCGGACTTCATCTATCCCTCCAGTAACTAAACCCAAAGCATGAACAGACCTCTGGTCAGGGGATCTCTCGTGTTGGAAACCAACTGATCCACTGTCCCCTTTTAAAGAAAAAGGGTCCTCATCGGAGTTTAAACTGGAGACTAGGAACACTTCACTTCTATTCTCAAACAGTTCATGATAGAACTCTGAGCTGATGATTCGACCATCAGAAAGATTAGTTGTCGCCCCTTTTTTATGTACGACAGCATTTGTCGGTAGGGGTCCTTCGTAAATATTTACATTGCATGGTTTCTCCATTCCATTCAGAAAGGTCGTATCACAGTTTCTACGTTTGTCTTTATCTATTTGAAAACGGCAAAATCGTGGAAAGGTTCTGGATCTGAATAAATGCATTCACCAATTTGGGCAAGTTGCATAGATTTTCCAGACGGAACGTATACAAATTCTTTCTCCCTAGGTAATGCATGATGGCACGTCAATCCATACAACTCGTCTTGGCCAAGATTGTCTTTCAGAAGAGCCCCAGCTGTTGCATAGGACGATTTTGAATTTTCGCCATTTTTATCTAAATAAACCTTTTCTCCTTGTTTCACGTGATTGTATATTTTCACTTCACCGGACACGATGTGAAGTGACATAGTGTTTAAAAATTCAGGTTCAAGTTTGTATAGTTCAGATTTTAGATTTTCAATGTTTGCTTTGTTTCTTAACAATATCCTGAACTCTGATGTTTCCCAGATACCAAAGCCTTGTACGTCTGGTCTCCTTTAAAGACAAAAATAAAAAAAAATACAATTGAAATCTTTTTATAATTATAAACTATTCTAAATTAAAGCATGACGTAGTAAAATCCATCAAACTATTTTTAATCTTTGAAGTTTTTCCACAGAGTAGTATAAGTATGGAATAACAAATATCAAACATACTCAAATAGGATATGTGTCACAAGTGACATTGTGTCAATGTTTTATATTAGCTTATTGTACAGGTATTGGTAAGAGTTATCGTTTATTTCATTTACGCACTATTGGTCACTGAGTTGTACTTGTTGCTATTTTTATCAACGTATACTCGTCGAACCCGTTTGAGTAGTTTGGTCAGTTATTTATACTGGGTGTTGGCTAGTGTTTGTCAGAAGAGGTCTGGAAGCCGTGAGTTATACTTTACCCATGCTTAGTGATCTTGGGTGTGCCTTTTATATAACCCATGCTGTGTGAACTTGGGTGTGTTCTAGCTGTTTCCCCTGCTGTGTGATCTTGGGATTCAGGGATGTTTTGTAGCGGCGTTGAGAGCAAGACCTGGGGGCCGACAGTATAATTTTAATGTGTAAAATGCCACAGCTCAGTAAGTTTTTATACTTTACAATATTTTTGTTATTAGCTTTAAAGAGCAGTATTCGATGTAAAACGGTTAGCAATATAGCGAGAATGTATATATTTACGCTCTAATTCATTTACTTGTTAAACGGCAAAAATACATGTTTTCTTTTGTAATTTGTTTGTAAAATCTAGTATTTTGAACAGATAAGTGTTTTGAACATTTTATTAGAAAACCCTATGAAAATTGTAGGTGACCAGAATTGTATATAATCTTTATTCGGACGGGAGGATTTGTTACGTAGTAAGGCTACTTAGGATATGGTGGACCGGACGGGACACTATGGTGGACAACATGGACAATATGGTGGACCATGGACGTGGTGTGGAGTGTGAATTTGTCCAGTGATAACCATGATTGAATTTTTGGCCGGTTTCATGTTTATTGTACATATGTAGATAAATTTATTGTTAATTTTTATAAATCTTGTTGTTTCTTGGTACACAGGAGGTCTTCCAAAATATTATTTATTTTGGTTAGTAAATTCTATAAAGAATCCATCACAACTTGAGGTCAGTTGTGACAATATGGAATAACATATATCAAACATACTCAAATAGGAAGTTTTTAATCGTTTCTGGGATCTGCGTTTCATTTCCCGTCGGTGACATTTGTGATAAAACTGATTTGCATTCATTCAGAATTTTTGGTATTACTTCACTTGTTCCTTCGTAAACATTCAATTCTTCAATAAACCCTTCAATGCATTTCTTCAAAGGAGTTTCTAGGAAAGAGGTTAGATCTTCTCTAACGCATTTCTATTTTCTTGAGAGGATCGAGTATTTTGATTGAAATTTGTCCCCAGATAGAGATGGTCTTCCAGCTTTATAGAGGACTATATAAGCCTTTGTCCATACAGCTGGTCGTATGGAATTGAGAAGCTAATCAAAAAGAAGGAAATTTTATTTGCTGTTTTAAAGATTGATAAACTATTTAGTTACTAGTAATACAATTCTCTCAAAAGCTTTCAAAGTAATTGCATTATGAATACCTCTTCTATTCTTTCTAAGGGTTCATTCTCTCTTTGAAAATATACTAAAAGGAAAAAGAAACGCATAATAAACTTTTGAATAAGATTAAAACTTTTATTTCCAATATGTTTTCCAGTATTGTTATCAAACAATTTAATCCAACTTTAAACGACAAGTAACCGAAATCTTGTGTGACTTTGACTGATAATTCCTAAGTTATTGAAATTGATAAGTCGATACCCCCCAAAAACAAAATAAAAATTCTCATCATCTCCCTTGCGCATCAGTAACAGCCTTGATTTTCTTGTGCATTGAGTTCACCAGAGGATTTATCTTTCTCATAGAATTATCATTCAAGCCTTCCGACGATAGTCTTAATGGTTGAGAGTAGCTGTGTTATTCCAAAGCCAACAAATCCTCCCGCCCAATGAATCCCACGAATTTTAAATTTAGGATAGAATTTACAGAATCTAGCTGATTTGGTACACGTGAGGTTTTGTAAGGAAGTCTCGACAAACACTGTCTACATTTTCTCAGCGCGAACATGCTAAAAACATTACGCATACGGCGCGTACGTGCGAGTGTGAGAGTAAAATCGACGTAAAGTTGCCAAGCTTGCGTACCAAATTAGAGCAGAGAGTTTCTGTCAGTATTAGGGTGAAAATATGAGTCTGGCTGTCTGCTGTAAAAATATCGGTGTCAGTGATAATGACTTGACAAAAAACCGAGGTAGCATGATGAAAAGCCCTATCTTGTTGTGACGTTGTTACGCACCAACGTCACTGTCATGGTTGGTTGGAAAACTTTTAAGTTACTCTCTGACAACCGAAAAAACCTTTTTGGTTGAAAATTTAAAAACAAACTGCACAGCAATATGTTGTTGCCTTTTTATTCACTTATGGAACTCAATTACTAGACCCTATGTAACTTCTGTCAGCCATACCATGATTGCAAGAAATTTATACTGAGTGCAAATACCGGAAAACGATGTCTGTAACTCAAATGCATCAATTGGCACTACAAAATGGGATCACAAAAATGTCATCATCAACATGTACGTGTATTTGGCTTTTTATCACTCCCCATACGTGACGCCATACTTTTCATGGTTGAGTAATTTTGACCAGCGATTTTAGTGCACAGTAACCAAATTACACATCTGACCAATTTTCATAATTTTCGGCCACATAGTTAAATATTTTTCGCTATAATGCTATTATGCGTTTCTTTTTCCTTTCAGTATAGATAAACACAGAAACAGGCCATCGTTGTTCACCCTTCAAAGAGGAAGTTTCTTGCTCTTCTAAAGAAAAAATAATTTCAAAAAATACTACCATGTCAATGTACCCATATCAGAGAGAGAGAGAGAGAGAGAGAGAGAGAGAGAGAGAGAGAGAGAGAGAGAGAGAGAGAGAGAGAGAAAAAATAGAGATAGAGAGAGAGAGATCCCTACCACTGGAGGAAGAAATTAGCTTCTCAGTTTCTTTAGTAGTATCCCCGGCTAGGTAAAGCTGGACTTTTTGGACACATAATGGTGCAATGATCTGAGACGATGATCTGAAATTTCTCATCTTTGTTGCAATCTTAGAGACCAACTGATGGTGGTAAAAAAGACGTGGAAAATTGCTGATTGAATACCACTTTTCAGTGTATGGGGATCGATATCCCTCTTAAATTTTACGATCAAAAGTTAACATTCTACATGCAAAACAGCGAATTTATACATGTACAATATTTAAGGAAGATAAAAAAAAACCTGTTAAGATAAATTTTGCTTCTTACCAGATTTAGATCTCCGATGTATGTTTCTTTCCACGGATATATTAATGCATTTCTCAAAGGCATCTGACTGTCTTTTTCCTATCTGCGTCTGCATATGAAAACGACATCATTCAGAATGTAGAACTTTGAACTAGGTCTTTTAAAGTGATATATATAATAAAAAAAATGTAATATGACTAATGCAGTAATTGTAACCAAGATCGATTTTTCTATTTTAAGAGTAGGAAATAACAGAATTTGAAACCTCTTATGAAACAAAAATAGCCCCGACTTGAACTGTTGGATACTAACATGTGGTCTGGTTCCTGGAGTGACGCTCGTACTCGTAACAAGGGGAAAGCGATGTGTGAGAGAAGAGGTCATTCTATCCAGAAAAAAATAAATTGAAAAAGGTTTTAAAATGAGTAACCCAGAATTAATTTGACAAAAAAAAGATGTGTTTGTGAAACAATGATGCGTCTGCATATGAAAACGACATCATTCAGAATGTAGAACTTTGAACTAGGTCTTTTAAAGTGATATATGTAATAAAAAAAATGTAATATGACTAATGCAGTAATTGAAACCAAGATCGATTTTTCTATTTTAAGAGTAGGAAATAACAGAATTTGATACCTCTTATGAAACAAAAATAGCCCCGACTTGAACTGTTGGATACTAACATGTTATCTGGTTCCTGGAGAAACGCTCGTACTCGTAACAAGGAGAAAGCGATGTGTGAGAGAAGAGGTCATTCTATCCAGAAAAAAATAAATTGAAAAAGGTTTTAAAATGAGTAACCCAGAATTAATTTGACAAAAAAAAGATGTGTTTGTGAAACAATGATGCCCCCGTATGGCAACAAAGCAAAGATTAGACTTTCCTTAAATGCAGATTTAATTAATTGGTACCAAAAGGAGGGTATTTTCACTGGAAAAAATTGTGAAATTTGAAAGTAGATCAATGTTAAAGATTTTTCAATACGTACAAAAATCTCAAAGATGAAGGTCAAAAGGTCAAGGTAATTTGTATCCAATGAAAGGTCTTTCCACAGAGAATACTTATGTAGAGTATGGAAGCCCAAGCCCTTACCATTCAGAAGACTCAAGTTATGACCAAGGTTAATTTCTTTTAAAAGTAGGTTAAACTCCAAGGTCAAGGTCAAAGTGCCAAAGTTCTTGTTACCAAATAAAAGGTCTTGGCACAAGGCTTAAAAAGGTAAAATATAAAAGCAATAGCCCTAACCCTTTAAAAGTTATGGTCAAAGTTTGCTTTGTTAAATGAAGTCAAACTCAAAGGTCGAGGTCAAAGGGTCAAAGTGCTTGGTATCCAATGAAAGGACTTTTCACAAGGATTACATATATGAAGTTTGAAAGCCCTATTCCTTACCGTTCAAAAGTTATGGCCAAGGTTAAAGTTTTGTTTTACAGGTACAGAAATCTACAAAGTCAAGATCAAAGGGTCAAGGTTGTTGGTATCTAATGAAGGGTCTTTCAACAAATAATACATATGTGAAATAAAACTTTCCTGGTGTCTACTGTTCAAAAGATATGGCCAAAGTAAAAGTTAAAATTTTCATGTAAAAGTGAGTCAATCTCCAAGGTCAAGGTTAAATTTGGTTGTACCCAAAGAAAGGCCTTGTCACAAAAAATATACATGTGAAATATGAAAGTCATGGCTCCAATAAATCAAAAGTTATGGGCAAGGTTTAAGTTTTTGCGGACAAACAGACAGACAGACGGACGGACACGACAAAAACTATATACCCCGAAACTTTGTTTACGGGGCCATAAAAAATAAATTTTCAACTCCAAAAAATACAAGAAAATATTTTAGATTTATTTAATATATATATCTAGAAACATACGAGTATAGATACAGTCAAACCTGTATTAAGCAGTCACCTACGGGATCCATCCAAAGTGACCTTTATAGAGAGGTGACCTTTGGATAGAGGTTCATCTTTTTTAAGGAATTTATATACACATATGTCTTTGTTTATATATTATGTATTTTACTACAAAATACAGAAAGTTAGATACTGGACATTATTGATCTCACTTAAATTATTTTTATTTTATTCAATAGATGCATTACTTCTATGGATGACTTCAAACTAAATTTAATGAATGCAAGAGAATTAATAAAATATCTGTATATTGAATCTTACACTTACATGGTGTTGCATTATCCCCCATCAAAACAACAACTTCTTTCTTGTGTAAGGAATGAATAAAATCAGTCAAAAATTATTTAATCTACACTTGATTCATAAAATTAACCTCTGTACATGTTTTTTTTAAAATACATGTACCTGATTTTTTGTATAATAAACTGTCAGACGTACTCTCAGTTGATCAACAGGTGTACAGGTGTCCTGAGCAATAAAGCGTTACTAATCCCTAACGGTCGTTTCCTTTGTGAAATTCACAACATACCCAAGACACAATGTGTGTATAAACCGTAATTATGGCTTCAACAAATGATGCAAGTTTCCTAGGTGTGAAAATTAAAATGCCTATCAAGCGTTCGTAATACATTAATTTACAACTCTCAGAGCATGCAGAGTGGCGCGCGATATCGACACGTACTGTACGTAAATGGTAAACAAAAATATCATATTTAATAATAGATGAAATAAATAGGTTATAACGTTGTTCTTTTTGAAAATTTGATTAAAAATCCAGAAGATATAAGACATTGATAATCAGTTATCCATAATAATACTATTCGTTTTTTCCCGTTAACTTTTTTCGTCATAGGACTTGTTAGAGTTTTGTAAAATCAGCTGACTCCAGATCAGATCACGTGATCGGACAAAATGGCCGCTAAAAACAGGGAGAAGTGGCGATTTCGTTTGAAATTTGATGACCGCTGACCGCGTTACGCAGGTGACCGCTCAACAGACTTACTTTATATAGGAAATTTCGTTGGGAGGAAATAAAATGACCGCATAGGACAAGTGACCGTTGAATAGAGATGACCGCTATGACAAGTTTGACTGTACTGTTTTATTTTGATATTTATTCTTTTTTTCCTGTTAATATGGGGAAAAAATATATACATATACTACATGAGTGTAAAGGAAGAGTGAAAAATGAAAAATAAATCCTTTACCATGATTCATGAGTAAAATAAATTCAAGCTTCACTAAAAAAAAACATTGAACTTTCTTTTTACATTATTGCAGTCTTGTCGTAACTCCTTGTCATAAATAGAACACTGACAGACCTATAAGTATGGCACGCCAAATTCACAAAAAAAATGTGCGAATCATAGTTTTACAGTCGATAAACTAGGTTTATCGGTTGTAAACTATAGTTTACGGACTGTTAACTATAGTTAACAACGTTAATCTATATTTTACATCTGTAAACTACAGTTAACGCTATAATCTATGTTTTACAACCGTAAACTATACTTAACACCCAAAACAATCATTTGCGATTGCATAACATAGATTATCTGATAAATACAGTTTCACGATTTGTAATCTATAATTTACAAACCGTTAAATATAGTTAACGATCTGATGAATATAGTTTCACGATTTGTGAAACTATGATTTACAATTCTTAACTATAGTTTACGATTGTAAACTATAGTTTACAAACGTGAATCTATGTTTATCAACAAAATCTATTGTTAACGCTTTATTCAGACAGATAAACTTAGATAAGCATTCGTAAACTATAGTTAACAACCGTTAAATATAGTTTAAATTTACAGATGAAAACTATACTTAACGAATCCTTAACTATACTTAACGAATTGTTAACTATAGTTTACGGTTTGTAAACTATAATTTACAGTCGATAAACCTAGTTTATCAATTTTGAAACTAGGTTTATCTCATTTTTGTGAATTTGGATTGCCATATATAGGGTTACATTTCGGTAGATTGTACAAAATGCATTCATATTCAAAAAATTAAAAGGAAAGGTGTAGTCAATAAACGTATAATATAACCATCGACAGAGTTCGTAATTGTATATAATCACCTCAGCACCACAAATATTATAGGGTTATTGAACTTATATCGGTGAATATTGGCACGAGTTGGCTGTTCAAATGCACGAGCTTGCGAGTGCATTTTAACAGCTAACGAGTGCCAATATTCACCAATATAAGTTCAATAACTCCTTTATTATATAGCTAAAACATTTCCACATGATTTATAATAATTATTCCAAACAAAAAAACCCTCAAATTAATGATTTTTTAGTATCGGTATTCAAATTAACGTCTGTCCTGTTAGCGTTCAATATCGCATCATTTCCATGATCCTTCCGAGCGATATGATTTGCTGATTTAGGTTTTAATGGGTCTAAAACGTACTATATTTTAAAAAAATAATTTCATTTTTGTGTGAAAAATAAACACATCTTACCTAGATGCCACTTCCTTTCTTTAATTTAGCTCTGAGAATTTGAACAGACGACTTTTTTTGTTTACAACGGGGCGTTCGATATTGAACGCTCGTATTCGGAATGTTTCGGGCATACTCATCATATTTAACTGTTTAAGAAATAAACAACGTTATTCAGTGAACATGGCGTTATGAGCTAGCGCATCATGGAATATGCCAGCAGAGCAGTTGCTATTCATTATGCCATGTTCACTGAATAATCGTTGTTTATTACTTATATTTGCATTCTTTGATTTTTTTTTTTTGATTTTTGAAATCCTGACTTACATAAGGACGCGGCTTCTTGTCTTCAGTAATGAAAAACATACAGCTGTAAAATCAGTACTAGTACACCTGATCAATGATCCTTTTCTCTAATAAATCACAAACAATTTATAAAGTATTCCCCTCTCAAACAGTTATTTGGATACAAGCAGCACCGTCATCACATTCTCTTAATTTTTGTTTTGATGCAGTTGTGACGTCATCGATCAACGTTATTGAAACCCTCAAACAAAAATCAATAATTTAACACTATAATGAAAAATGAAGATGCTTTTATAATGATTATTATTCCAGAATACTTTTCTATGATTTTTTTTAGCTTTTCATATTTATTTTTAATAGCTGAAATCATTCTTGAAGTAGATATACTAGTTAAAGAAATTTCCTCTTTCTGAGTGTTATTACCCAAGTGTGAAGAGTTATCTTTCTTTGTACAAATATATATGATATGAAAAAATAAAAATATGGCAGTTATCTAAAATTTTAAAAAGTTTTATTATACAATTAAATACATTGACCAAAATTGAATTTTTAAAGATATAAATCAGCAATTTTAAATATTCTGAATTTCTTTTTTTTTTTTTTAAGAATATTATTAAAAACTTATTTTTATTCCTTTTATGAAACATTTCATATATATACTTCTCAGCACGTTATATAAGTGTCGTAGAATTTGTTCTACACGAATATAATTTAATTTTATTTGTATTCTCGCCTCTCATTGGTTGATTTCCAAAAAGGAACGCATAACATTTTGTATAATCTGGTTTGGTATGGGGACACACCCCCTTGACGACCAGTTTAATCATCATATCCATGCAATCCCCTCATTTCCAGTCCTCGGAATCCATGGAAAATTCCAGATTTAATAAATGTACCTTCAACTTTAAACAATGACTCGTTCTTACCTCATGTAAACAAACATCATGGCTGCAAGAACTATGTATCAGTTATTACCTCCCCTCGCTTCAAATCACTTCCGTTACTACGGTTGTATTATTGCGCGGTAAATTTGAACTTATAAAAAGCAACACAATTTTACATCAAAAGTTGTTTAATTATTTTAAAATTAAATTATAAGGAATGACTTTAATTCTTGGCCATATTATCGAGTATAATCTGGTTTGGGTCAGTTTACGCTTTTTTATAATCCGCTTCGCGGATTATAAGGCGTAAACTGACCCAAACCAGATTATACTCGATAATATGGCCAAGAATTAGAGTCATTCCTTAAGTGATAGAGCAATTGCACTCATAGCAGAAGCAGTTGCGTCTATGGTCCTATGAACGCAGTTGATGACTACATGTTCATAGTGGGAGAGAGCAATGGCTATGCAAAGTTAGCGTTCAATAAAACGTCAAGATATTGAACGCTAAAATTCTCTGGATTTTTGTCAGTATTTTATTAGAGACTATTTATTAGCTATATAATAAAACTAATTATTATAGTTTATTTATAGTCCCTATATAATCTATACAAGCGCAAACAGTTCATAACACGACATATTCACTGGATTCGAGGCCGTATTCACCGTAGGGTCAGTGCGCGTTCGACGGCTTTGTGACGTCAGAATGGTTGCAATGGCCGAAGCAAGCTATCTATCTGAGGCAGGAAAAAATGTTAGACAAACCTATCGCAGGATTATTTTTAAAAATTTGAACGTCTTACGCAAAACACATACATCATAAACTGTAATCGGGATATTGTTTTTTTTTTTTTAATTTTCACCGACAAAACTTCGTAAATGAAAATGGTGCTTTCGTGCTGCCTTCAGCGTTTTGTTTATTTAAATTCGACTTTATAATAAAACAATTATGGACCCTCTTGGCGTTGAATATGGTTTGTTATTCACCAAAAAATATCAATACTGACCTCGGCTCTGCCTTATTCAACACCATAATGCTACATGTATAATATCAAATAAATTTAAAATTCTAACCTTAAACAGATATGTTTCTTGTCATTCACAATTAATCATCTTTATAAAATGGTGTAGGTAAAATTTTTCTTCTTAAGTAAAGTCAGTAGAAAATACTAGAAACTCTTGTTGCTACAGCAACAAAAACGGTCTTCCGTTCTCCTCTATTTATCTGTATGAATGAACTTTTATCTATGTTAAAAAAGGCATATAATATTTAAAACGATACAGGAAAACAATCGACCGGAGGTGTAACTCACCAAGATTCTCGACATTACTTTAGACAATTATAGTCTTAATAACATTTATAAAAAACATTTTCAATTTTTTATCACTTCTTGTGACGACCGGAAATGACGTCAGACACATTTTACGCTTTATTTGTTTAGTGTCTTGATATGTTACAGTTTAAGAGATCTCGTAATGTTAACATCTCATTTTATAAAAAAAATAAATCATGTGACCGGAAGTAAATTTAAAAAAAAAAAGATATTTGAGATTACTCTAGACATTTCAGTCTGAATGACATGTTCTGAGATCATTTCAAATACTCTTTTTATAAAAGATATTTATGGTTTAGTATGATACGCAATTTATGCAAGTTTTCTTTCATAACCGGAAGTTGTCGATTTTGTTTCCAGTGGGACTGATATATTTCAAAACTACAAATAAGATGTTATAATGTATTACTAACTAAAGAAAGATTCCATAAAGAAATGTTGATATTTTTGATTTATTTGATCACTTCCTGTGGCATTGGAAGTGACGGCGGACGATGTTAACCCAAATGGATTTGCCTTCTCATCAAGATTTACAACTCCTATAAGTTTGGTTTCGTAATCTTTTACCGTTTACGAGATCTAGCTATGATAACTTCTCATATTAAGGACAAGAAATTACGCGACCGGAAATGCATTTTAAAAAGATATTATACGTTACTGTAGAAATTTGCAGTCTGAATAACATATCCAAAAAACATTACAAATACTTTATCTATAAAAAGTGTAAATGGGAGAGAAAAATACTCAAATTATGTAGTTTTTCTCTCATAATCGGAAAATGTCGTTTTTGTTTCCGGTATGACTAATATATTTTGAAAGGGTGTTGCTAAAATGCGGAACGGAAAACGGAACGGAAAGCGGAACGGAACGGAAAACAGAATATATTATTTTGGATTAAATCTCTTAAAATACACAAAATTTATCATAAATGATATATTTTGTACATATTCAATCCCCCACTATTAAATACAAGTTGATTTTGTCATGCTCAGTCTCTTTTTTTACGAAAATCGCTAACATATAGCAGTCACCTAGAATCGAATTTGAAATGGGGGGGGGAGGGGGATAAACGACCTTGAAAAGCATTTGACAAGCAAAAACACAAAAAGAAACAATTGTTTGATTCGGGAGGGGGGATAAGTTTCAATTCCAACATCTTTCAGTACTATTTTTTTACACTAACTTACTACATTTATTACATTCACAAAAAAGTATGAGGATGTCAACTTGAACGAACATTTCCGTAGTAAAAAGGTTATGACTGGGGGATCAAATATTTGATATCTAAATGAGCCATGAAAGAGAAATAGATTGTAAAAAAAATTATTAAGATAGGGCAAACCTTTACGGCAAGCTCGAATAAACATCTCTTATGCATACTGGTTGTTAAAATTTTATTCAAAATAGAGACATTTTCTATATATTTAAATTCTGGAAAGACAAAGTAGGAAAACTTTCATGTGGTAGAAATAATGCAGAATCTTTGCATTCAATGTTAAATTTTGTTTGCGGTACATACAGTGTATGTTTGGGGGGGGGGGGTGTACATGAATGACCCCGTAAAAAATGAGTTTGTTTTCCCTCTCATCGGAAAGGTCTGAGAAGTTGTAATAGGAATGCCCCCCTTTTTGTGTCAAAAATATACATAAGGTTTAATAAATCATTTTTTATGTGACTGTGGGCCCCTACACAGACCCGAAACTACCACTCCCCCTTTCATGATTTGCGAATTCAACACTGCGTGCATAATCTGAATATCATAAATAGTTATTTTTGTCTTTACAGACTTTGACATTGGAAACAAATTGAAAGAAGGGGGGGGGGGTCAGTATACATACAACAAATTTGACAAGCCAAAAAAGGGGGATATGTTCTTTGCCCAAACACGAAAATCCTATTTCGTGTGTGTGTGGGGGGGGGGGGGTTAGAATTTCTTTCAGTACCATTTTTCCACAGACGTTGTGTATGACTCATGAATATATAATAGTTTACAATAAATTTCTATCAGAAATGATTTTTACAACAAGAATATTGCTCTTTTATCTGATTTATATCGAATCTATGTTATTTGTTTGACAAAAATTTTCCGTTTTCCGTTCCGTTCCGCTTTCCGTTCCGTTTTCCTTTCCGCGTTTTAGCAACACCCATTTTTAAACTACAAATAAGATGCTATAAAGTGATGCAAAAAAAGTTTCTTCAAAGAAAAGTTAAAATTTTCGATTTTTTTTATCACTTCCTGTGACGACCGGAAGTGACGGTAGACGATCTTATAACAAATGGATTTGTCTACTTATCAAGATCTATTAGTGCTATAAGTTTGGTGTCTTAATCTTTTACTGTTTTTGAGATCTAGCTGTGATAACTTCTCACTTCGAGGACAGGAAATCACGCGACCGGAAGTGAATTTCATAAAGATATTTGACGTTACTGTAGACATTTGCAGTTTATATAACATATCCAAAAATCATTACAAATGCTTCATGTATAAAAAATATTTATGAGAAAGAAAAATACTGAAAATATGCAGTTTTTCTCTTATAACCGGAAGATGTCATTTTTGTTTCCGGTGGGACTGATATATTTCGAAACTACAAATAAGATGCTATAATGTGATGCTAAAAAAGATTTGTAAAAGAAAAGTTGAAATTTTTGATTTCTTTGATCACTTCCTGTGACGACCGGAAGTAACGGCAGACAATTTTATCCCCAGTGGTTCTGCGTTCTCATCAAGATCTAACAATCTTACAGGTTTTTTGTGTTAATCTCTTACCGTTTACGAGATCTAGCTATGATAACTTCTCAATTTGAGGACAGAAAATCACGCGACCGGAAGTGAATTTTAAAAAGATATTTTACGTTACTGTAGACATTTGCAGTCTAAATAACATATCCAAAAATCATTACAAATACTTTATTTATAAAAAATATTTATGGGAAAGAAAAATACTCAAATTATGTACTTTTTCTCTTATAACCGGAAGTTGCCGTTTTTGTTTCCGGTGGGACTGATATATTTCAACACTGCAAGTAAGATGCTATAATGTGATGCAAAAAAAGTTTCAAAAAAGAAAAGTTGAAATTTTCGATATTTATGAACACTTCCTGTGACGACCGGAAGTGACGGCAGACCATCTTAACCCAAACGGATTTGCCTACTTACCAAGATCTGTCATCCCTGTAAGTTTGGTGCCTTAATCTCTTACCGTTTTTGAGATCTCGCTCGGATTAAATATTTTTTTAAAAAGCGGAAATCGGACATCTCTGACGATGTGAATTTTGAAAAAATGAAAAAAACGTCTCGGGGTATTTTCATTCTCTATCATCCCTGAAAATTTCAGGAAAATCCGTCCAGCCATCTCTGAGAAATCCTGCCGACAAGATTTGGGGAAAAAAATAATAAGAAAACTAGAAACTCTTGTTGCTACAGCAACAAATAAGGTCTTCCGTTCTCCTCTATTAATCTGTATGCAGGATATTTTTTTTTCTGTTTTCAAGAAGACAGATATATAATAAAGAAATAATAGACAAAATGCAAAAAATAAAAAAACACTAGTAAACTAATTGTTCAGTCAACAATTATAGGCCTTTCCACCTTTTTAAACATTTCAATATCATTTGGGCTGAAAAATAGGGAAAAAGCAAGAAAAAAAAAAAAAAAAAAAAAACAGCACAATTCTCATTTCTCTACCAGGATTTTAGATCGGGCTCGCAGTTGGTATAATTTTACCCTAAACAGACTTCCTGGATTGTTTGTAGTCGACTCGGGGATAACCACGAATTCATTGATCACGCAAAGAGAGCACGATAAAAACATTGTAACACTCTCCTTTGTGCACATATGAGCTTGAATTAGATTGTTTTCAAGTTAAGACGTAAGGGGTAGGGTTTTATTAAAATTATGATTTACCTATTAATATGAATAACATGCATTTGATCTGCGCATCAAGACGGAAGCGTAAGTGAAAACGTTGTGAAATGTCCCATGTGTACCTGCATCATATGTGCATTATACATGTATTAAAGAGATAAAGAGATGTTTGAAAAATATCCGATTTGAGTTGTTTTATGTTTGAAATGAATGGCGATAAATTATTTAAGAGCATGTGAGAAACATGAGCGAGAGATGCAAGGCAGTTTGTAATTATAGAAAAAGAAAACAGAGAATCGGGTTCGGATTTTAACATTCCTGACCGAAATAGGTATGGAATATGTGTGTGGATTAAATTCATTGTAAGTAGCATAAAAAAAATTCCAAACATGTATTTCTAGATGGAAAACACAGGGAAGAAACGCGTATTGATTTTTATTATGCTGAAAGTCGCTATTTCTTATAAGATTGTGTTATTCTAGAAAAAAAAAATCAAATTTCAAATGAAATCAAGATTCATTCAATTAATATTAAATCTAAATAAAATTGAAATAAATTCCACATATTAAAGAAAGCTAGAATACTTGGTATTAAAATGTCGTATAAGAGCAGGAGAATCGAATGATATTAACAACAAATGAAGAAATAGCCAATACAAGCTTTAATTCATTTTATGCCCATCAGAATTTAAATTTCAGACAGAAAAAAAAATGCAGTTTTTGCCGATAATCCGTAGAATTTCATTATACTCAAGAGACTCACCCTAAAACTCTTAGGACACTTTCTTTAAGGTGCCTTCTACTCAAATCCTTAATCTTATGTCGATCTGTGGTGTCTTTTCAGAGGTAGAAGTTTTTTCTATGTTGCTATTGACTTTTTTTAAGGGAGGGGAGGGGAGGGGGGTTATTTTATAAGCATTTGTTAAAATGAGAAATGTTAATACCTCCACATACTGAAGATTGATTGTGAC